ATGAAGACGCTCACAGAAATCATCGGTGTTGAACAGGATGGTGGTGAAGCAGAAGAAAAGGGGAGTTGTTAACGCACCGGCCTGGGCGGGGTTCATGACTTGGAAGCTCGTTCGCGGAAGCAACGTCGTTCGCAACCTGCATCTGGGGGCTCCTCTCTCTGCTGCGCTGGCCAACGGTGACGACACACTGAGCATCACGGCCGACTGCTACTCCGTCGCAGCAGCGGACGCGGCCCTCGCAGCTGCGCTGCTGGCCTACTACACCTCGGCGCAAACGCGCTGTTGGTCGACTACCGAACGGGACGCCGAGACGACCAGCGCCATGGCAGCAGCGCTGCTGGCCGACTACACCTCGGCGCAAGTGGACGCCCTGTTGGCCAACTACCGGACGGCAAGCGCGCAGGACACACAGACGCAGGCCCGGCCTCCACATCGTGCTGCCACTGCTTGAGCCATGTTGCTCGGCACTGGTTGGAATCCTTAGCCCCAATTGGGGTGTTTCCTATGTTTAGGCTTCGGAACTCCAAAATGGCTTCGGTGCTCTTTTGTTTCCCTTTGAAACCACAAAAACAAGTTCTGAAAAGGAAAGGCACACCCATCTTGATCTCAACTTTACACAATCCAAAATCTCAGTCTTGAACCAAGAGCGATCGGTCAACTGTGACAAATTCGGAGGCCGTGTCGCTCACCTCAAATCGACGGAGGATTCTCTCGCAAAACGCTTGAGGCTTTGGTGGTTACACTGGATCTTGCACGCGAGAGGTACATATGCAGCTGCATCCTCTTGCAAAGCTGAGACAAGAGCTTTGCAAGTCTGTGCTTTGTTTTGCGCGTGTATTTGTTTATTCCTCCTCAGCCAAATGATGAGGCTGCTGGTCTCAAGTTCTCGAACAAAACAACTTCATGCCAGCCACAGGGGAGCATGAGCCAAGCCGACCCAGCTCCCCAGCCACACCAAGCGCACAAGTGCCAAAGAAGGCAGCGGCGCGCGGCGAGCGATAAAAACATAATAAAAAAATAATAAGAAGAAGAATAAGAATAAGAATAAGAATAAGAAGAGTGGTTTCCTTCTGGGTAGCCTTCTGGTTGTTTTCTCAACACCGGCAGGGCTTCAGCACGTTTTTGGGACGCCGGGCGCCTCAAAGGAAGCCGCGCCCCCGCCGCCGGTCCCGGATGCGAGGCAAGAGGAGCGCCGGCGCCATCAAGGCCTTGCAACGTGACGTGGCAGAGGCCGACGTGGACAGGCTGTGTCAGTCAGCCTATGAGTCAAAACCTCGCAAAAATCTCGCACAAGCAGCGAATCGTCTTTGTTCTTCGGATACTTGCAGGGCTTGCTATACTGTCTGAACAGTTCGACCTACCGAGTTGTCATGCAAGACGACCTCTGCCAAAGCAACCAACAAGAAGCCGGTTTCTTACTACTGCGCCACGTGGTTCGCCCGCCTTGCTGGCCTTCGAGGCATCGTGGAGGGCCTTCACATTGCTGAACTCCCTAAACTCAATCCTTGGCTTCGGTCGAGTCTGCTCGGCCCTCTAATCGAAGTCTTGGATTGACTCCGGGGCCGTCGCGTCGGGTCACGGCACATCCGGATCAGCCACAGCACATCCGCCTCCAAGCCCGGCAGCCTGCTGCCAAGCTGCGCATTCTTGTGGCTTTGCACCTCCGAAACACGCGAAGCGACCCCCCAGAGGTCTCACGCCGCATGTCAGCTCAACTCAGACTTCTCGCGCCCACCTCAAACTTCTCGCGGGTGGCCTTGAGGTCATCGTCCCCTGCGCCGGCGTCCGTTTTGATGAGCTTCTCCAAGTGCTCATCTCGCGGGAAAAACTCGGGTTGCTTCGTTTTTAGCGCAACTCGCGATAGAGGAAACGCAGCTTTCCAGTCTCATACAATAGCACAAATATGGCTGCATCGCTTGAAGGCTTTTGCAAAACCCTTCAGGCACAGTCTCCATACAATGGCATCCGTGCTTATCGCCTGCGCTTTCGCTTGCGCTGGCATGCCAGCGAACACAAAACAAAAAGAACTGAGCTTGGCTTGGCTTTGCATATCTCTGAGAGCCGGGCTCTCCTCGTGCAGTATGTCCTGCAGCTCCGGAAACGGAAAACCGAATCTGGCCGCTGAGGCCATGTCCTGAGGTTGCTTCTACAACTCGTCCGGCGGCTTGAGGATCAGCTTCTCCTTGGAGAGGCTAGGGCTGGGGCTGTACGCTTTTCACGAAAGGTGGCGGCGCTTCAGGATATTATCATCTGATACTAAGATTCGTTGTTTTCATGATTTACTTCCCTGTAGCCTCCTCACCTCCTCACCTTGAAATCGGAAGGTTTTGGAAGTCCTCGTTTTGGCGGCTCCCGCCCTGCACATTCAACTCGCCGAGCTTCGAAGGCCTCCTGGTCCCGGCCCTCCGCAGCTGCATCGGCAAAGGCCTACGTGAGTCAAGGGCTTCCGAGAGCTTAGCAAAACCTCACACCGTGTGTCTTCTTTTCCTTGGTTGTTTTGGCACGGAGAGTCACGCGGCAAGTTCGGCCACATTAGCAGCACCAGATCAAAATTATGCGTCATATAGTCATGTATGTTCACACGGGCAATAGATTGGAAACTCTTGCAGGAACTGCTCATCCTGCGTCAGGCCAGCTGGGCGAAGTCGAATCACTCCACCTGACCCTCTTCCATGCGCAGGAGCGCGGAGCTGTCGAGACGGGCCCGGCGCATGCTGAGGACACCGAACACCACACCCACTGCAGCCACAGCGGCGACTGCGCCAAGTAAAGCTGATGGAAAGTGGATGGCTGGTGTGGACGCCTCATAGAGCCTTGTGGCCTCAGGTGCTGTCGCTGCCGGTGCTGTCGCTGGCGGTGCTGTCTTGCACACGGCAGCAAGTCCTGCTATCGCACTGGTGCCGAACATAGCCGCCCCCAGTGTTCCCGAAAGAGCTTGAAACTTCGGAAGAAAGGAAGCAATCGTGGTGTCCTCCGCACTTTTCCTGGTAGACTTCATAATGCGTTGGGTAATCTGGCTCACGTCACTGTTCAAGTCTGCCTTGAGCGTAGATTCTTGCTTCTCTGTCTCTGCAAGCGTGGTCATCTGCGCACAGAGCTTCTCTTTCAGGCCCGCCATCTTCGACTCTAAGTCCGCCACCTGCTCCTTGTTGCCATTAACGGTGACCATTTGCCCGGGAAGCATGGTTATCTCCATCGACATCTGGTTAATCTGCGCCACTCCGTTGCTCAACTTCTGGGAGATGGAGGCCACCTGTGGGGAGATGCCATCCAGCGTGCTCTGCAGCAGCTGCTCCATCTGCTTGGCTGTGGCATCTTCTGCCGCCGCCACGCAGGGCTGCAATCCGCCACATTCTGCGAATATGCTCGGGGAAACTTCTCGCAATTGGCCTCTGAGCTTGAGCCTGCAATTTCTCCCGGCCCTCCATATTTGTCAGCAAAGTGTCCCCTCACATCTTGGGACTCTTGGACTCTTGGGAAGCAACAACACGCTGAGCAAAAATCCAAAGCCTTGTGGGAGGCGTCGTTCTCCCGCTGGGCATCCTGCTGCTCTCGTACCTCTGATTGGCCAGCCAGAGCCTGACAAATGTCCGTCGGTTGCATGTGCCAAAATAGGGACTTGGACCCCAAGATCGGCTTCGTTTTGGTTTGCGGATAAACCAACCTGACAATATGTTCAACATGGTACCCCCAACTTCCGCTTTGGCACGTGGTCTTTGACATACTCTTGAAGGTTGCCGTCATGGAGATCGTGCGCCTCCGCCTGCAGGGCAGCGCGAAAACCGAAGCGATTCGACCGGACGACTTCGCGGACATTTCGGCGGTGATTCGTGTCCAACCGCTTGGAGCTGGTTCCCGATGAAAACTGATGCCCACATCGCCTTGCAAACAGCAATCCTCTGAAATTCATAGGTTGCCAGTGACGGGAGTGCAAAAGTGGTGCGAACATCAAATCTGACAAGAAATGGGGCTTGCCGACAAGTACATGTTTCGGGTAAGCTTGAGCCAAAAGACTCTTTGCGTGGCTTTGTTGTGCACAAATCCTCAGCTGCTCAGCTCCACAAAGGCAGTCGTGAACCCAAGGAATACAAACCTGTGCCCAGAAAAACCGCCGACTCCAATAGGCGGAGGCCCGGCCTCCACATCGTGCTGCCACTGCTTGAGCCATGTTGCTCGGCACTGGTTGGAATCCTTAGCCCCAATTGGGGTGTTTCCTATGTTTAGGCTTCGGAACTCCAAAATGGCTTCGGTGTTCTTTTGTTTCCCTTTGAAACCACAAAAACAAGTTCTAAAAAGGAAAGACACACCCATCTTGATCTCAACTTTACACAATCCAAAATCTCAGTCTTGAACTAAGAGCGATCGGGAAACTGTGACAAATTCGGAGGCCGTGTCGCTCACCTCAAATCGACGGAGGATTCTCTCGCAAAACGCTTGAGGCTTTGGTGGTTACACAAGATCTTGCACGCGAGAGGTACATATGCAGCTGCATCCTCTTGCAAAGCTGAGACAAGAGCTTTGCAAGTTTATGCTTTGTTTTGCGCGTGTATTTGTTTATTCCTCCTGAGCCAAATGATGAGGCTGCTGGTCTCAAGTTCTCGAACAAAACAACTTCATGCCAGCCACAGGGGAGCAAGAGCCAAGCCGACCCAGCTCCCCAGCCACACCAAGCGCACAAGTGCCAAAGAAAGCAGCGGCGCGCGGCGAGCGAGAAAAACACAATAATAAGAATAATAATAATAATAATAATAATAATAATAATTAAAGAAAGAGTTCAAAAAACAAAAAGAAAAGAAAAGCTCCCAGCACTTTGTTTCCAGGCCTGACACATCGGTGCCCCGCCAGAAGCGCCCGGCGCGCCTGTTCCGCGACCGCCGGGGCCGCCGGCACAGAACTTTCCGCCCAACAAATACACTGGGTGTGGTTTCCTTCTGGGTAGCCTTCTGGTTGTTTTCTCAACACCGGCAGGGCTTCAGCACGTTTTTGGGACGCCGGGCGCCTCAAAGGAAGCCGCGCCCCCGCCGCCGGTCCCGGATGCGAGGCAAGAGGAGCGCCGGCGCCATCAAGGCCTTGCAACGTGACGTGGCAGAGGCCGACGTGGACAGGCTGTGTCAGTCAGCCTATGAGTCAAAACCTCGCAAAAATCTCGCACAAGCAGCGAATCGTCTTTGTTCTTCGGATACTTGCAGGGCTTGCTATACTGTCTGAACAGTTCGACCTACCGAGTTGTCATGCAAGACGACCTCTGCCAAAGCAACCAACAAGAAGCCGGTTTCTTACTACTGCGCCACGTGGTTCGCCCGCCTTGCTGGCCTTCGAGGCATCGTGGAGGGCCTTCACATTGCTGAACTCCCTAAACTCAATCCTTGGCTTCGGTCGAGTCTGCTCGGCCCTCTGATCGAAGTCTTGGATCTCCGGGGCCGTCGAGTCGGGTCACGGCACATCCGGATCAGCCACAGCACATCCGACTCCAAACCCGGCAGCCTGCTGCCAAGCTGCGCATTCTTGTGGCTTTGCACCTCCGAAACACGCGAAGCGACCCCCCAGAGGTCTCAAGCCGCATGTCAGCTCAACTCAGACTTCTCGCGCCCACCTTAGACTTCTCGCGGGTGGCCTTGAGGTCATCGTCCCCTGCGCCGGCGTCCGTTTTGATGAGCTTCTCCAAGTGCTCATCTCGCGGGAAAAACTCGGGTTGCTTCGTTTTTAGCGCAACTCGCGATAGAGGAAACGCAGCTTTCCAGTCTCATACAATAGCACAAATATGGCTGCATCGCTTGAAGGCTTTTGCAAAACCCTCCAGGCACAGTCTCCATAAAATGGCATCCGTGCTTATCGCCTGCGCTTTCACTTGCGCTGGCATGCCAGCGAACACAAAACAAAAAGAACTGAGCTTGGCTTGGCTTTGCATATCTCTGAGAGCCGGGCTCTCCTCGTGCAGTATGTCCTGCAGCTCCGGAAACGGAAAACGAATCTGGCCGCTGAGGCCATGTCCTGAGGTTGCTTCTCCGACTCGTCCGGCGGCTTCAGTATCAGCTTCTCCTTAGAGAGGCTAGGGCTGGGGCTGTACGCTTTTCACGAAAGGTGGCGGCGCTTCAGGATATTATCATCTGATGCTAAGATTCGTTGTTTTCATGATTTACTTCCCTGTAGCCTCCTCACCTCCTCACCTTGAAATCGGAAGGTTTTGGAAGTCCTCGTTTTGGCGGCTCCCGCCCTGCACATTCAACTCGCCGAGCTTCGAAGGCCTCCTGGTCCCGGCCCTCCGCAGCTGCATCGGCAAAGGCCTACGTGAGTCAAGGGCTTCCCAGCTTAGCAAAACCTCACACCGCGTGTCTGGGCTTCTTTTGCCTGGTCCTTTTGGCACGGACAGTCGCGCGGCAAGTTCGGCCACATTAGCTGCATGTCCGGATCCCGGCGCATGCTGAGGACACCGAACACCACACCCACTGCAGCCACAGCGGCGACTGCGCCAAGTAAAGCTGATGGAAAGTGGATGGCTGGTGTGGACGCCACATAGAGCCTTGTGGCCTCAGGTGCTGTCGCTGCCGGTGCTGTCGCTGCCGGTGCTGTCTTGCACACGGCAGCAAGTCCTGCTATCGCACTGGTGCTGGACATAGCCGCCCCCAGTGGTCCCGAAAGAGCTGCTCCTTGTTGCCATTAACGGTGACCATTTGCCCGGGAAGCATGGTTATCTCCATCGACATCTGGTTAATCTGCGCCACTCCGTTGCTCAACTTCTGGGATATGGAGGCCACCTGTGGGGAGATGCCATCCAGCGTGCTCTGCAGCAGCTGCTCCATCTGCTTTATGCGTCATATAGTCATGTATGTTCACACGGCAATAGATTGGAAACTCTTGCAGGAACTGCTCATCCTGCGTCAGGCCAGCTGGGCGAAGTCGAATCACTCCATCTGACCCTCTTCCATGCGCAGGAGCGCGGAGCTGGCTGTGGCATCTTCTGCCGCCGCCACGCAAAGAAGGGCTGCAATCCGCCACATTCTACGAATATGCAATTGGCCTCTGAGCTCGAGCCTGCAATTTCTCCCGGCCCTCCGTATTTTGTCAGCAAAGTGTCCCCTCACATCTTGGGACTCTTGGACTCTTGGGAAGCAACAACACGCTGAGCAAAACTCCAAAGCCTTGTGGGAGGCGTCGTTCTCCCGCTGGGCATCCTGCTGCTCTCGTACCTCGGATTGGCCAGCCTGAGAGCCTGACAAATGTCCGTCGGTTGCATGTGCCAAAATAGGGACTTGGACCCCAAGATCGGCTTCGTCTTGGTTTGCGGATAAACCAACCTGACAATATGTTCAACATGGTACCCCCAACTTCCGCTTTGGCACGTGGTCTTTGACATACTCTTGAAGGTTGCCGTCATGGAGATCGTGCGCCTCCGCCTGCAGGGCAGCGCGAAAACCGAAGCGATTCGACCGGACGACTTCGCGGACATTTCGGCAGTGATTCGTGTCGAACTTTCCGATGAAAACTGATACCCACTTTGCCTTGCAAACAGCAATCCTCTGAAATTCATAGGTTGCCAGTGACAGGAGTGCAAAAGTGGTGCGAACATCAAATCTGAAAAGAAATGGGGCTTGCCGACAAGTACATGTTTCGGGTAAGCTTGAGATCCTCAGAATCCTCAGCTCCAGAAAGGCACTTGTGAACTCAAGGAAAAGTCAAACCTGTGCCCAATTCGTTTGACTGCGATTCGCGCGCAGGCCCGGCTGCCCGGATGCCCGGCCTCCGCATCGTGCTGCCACTGCTTGAGCCATGTTGCCTCCTGCTCCAGGTCTCGACGCTGGCTGGAATCCTTGGCCACTTGTGGCTCCTGTTAGTACTCGGAACCCCCAAGATGGGTTTCGGTGGTTCTGTTGGTGTCCCTTTAGAACCAGAAAAGAGAAGGTCAGTTCTCGAGATCGAATCCGCCGATTACAGGGAACCGAAACCGACCGAACTCGCAAGTCCTTGTTTTGCGTGGTTCACCCATGTGTCTGAGAGTCATCAAAACCTGGTATTCAATCAACGATGGCACCTATTTGTCTTGGTGCTCAGACTTCCTTTTAAGGGACTCCCCAAAACCGCTTCATTGCCCGGGCTCATTCCGTCCAAAACCATCGCAAGTGGCTCCGCCCGAGGGGCCATCTCGTGCTTCATGGCCTCCGATCGCAGCTTCTGCGCCATGCCTCCCACGACCTGCGCCTGCTCTTCCTCGAGGTCCGCAATCCTCGGCGCGCGGGCTTGAGCCCAGCTCGCGGACCGAGTTCGCATTGGGGGCTGCAGCGTCCCAATCCTAAAAGCCCCAAATTGGGTGATCCGTTGCAGAGTCCCACGCCAAAACCACCGCCCCCCCGCCCCCCCCCCCCCCAAGTTTAGGTGTGGGGGTGACAAGTTGTTGGAATGAATCGCCACCGAGTTCTGTCCGTCAAGGTTCTCAAAGGGGCCGGGCACGGATTCAAAGTCACACAGCATCCATGCCGGGTGGCTGCTCCTCAGAGCGATGGACATCCGACTCCGCGCGGTTCTTCACCTCGTCGATGCTGTGCAGGTCCACCTCGTCCTTTCCCTCCTGCCCACCGTGCAGGCCCCATGAGCAGACAGCAAGTCCATGGCACACAAACAAGTTATTCCGATGCCAGGAACCAGTCCTCGTCCTTCTCAACATCGATGGCGTGCCTGAGCCGGGCCCCAAAAAGACCCCCTTTTTTGCACACGCACAATTCCGCCAGAACTGCAATGGGCAGGAATCCCCCCTACACACGACGCGCAGCGAACAAAGACTGGCAAACCATGTTTCCCGGGGGAGAACCCCAAGGCTGCGCCCTGGGAAGTGTTTTTGGCTCCCATCCGACCGCTCCGCTGCCGCGGAGCCTGAGCGCCGCAGACAGCGTCTGGCGCTTCTCCGCGGAGCTCTTCTTGGCATCATTCAGCGTATCGTGGGCGGACTCCCACGCCGCCTCAAGCTAAGCGAGCGATGCCCCGAAGTGCTGGCGAAGGAACCGGAGAAAACACCCGCAGATCGCATCTTGGAACTTCATGGGGCAAGGCATGCTGCGGAATGCTCAATCTGCGACCGGCCTTAGCAGCATCCAACTTCGCTTGGTGCTCTGCCAGCTTTGGTCCATTGTCGTGGTGGTTCTGATACACCTGCCTCGGTCATAGGCCGAACGCGAAACGGAACCGCGCCCGAAATATCTGAAGCGGAAGTGAAAGAGCAAGCTCACCATTTGGGGGGATGCAATGCTTCCGAGCAGCAACTCCATCTTGGCATGGTTCATCTTGCGCTCGGCGTCCTCTCGCGAACAAACATACAAGTGGCAGCGCAATCACAAACGCCCAATCACAAAAGCTTGAACAAAACAATATGGAGATCGGGAGAGACGGAGCAGGACCGTGGAAGTTGCTTCTTGCCTGAAATCAGGCAACCAGCTAGGCTGCGCCACAAAAATGGGCAGTTGAAAATCGGATAAGTGTCAACATAAGGAACCCACGGAGCACGAGCGTCCCCTTTGCCTGGAATCGCAACCACTCGAAAAGACTCATTGATGATCATTTGCGCTCGTGGCCAGATGCTTCCAAGGCACACCTCACTGGACACTCCAGCTCGCAGCAGAATCAATCTCATTCGGGGCGGTGAGACTAGTCGCTTGCAATGTAGCTGGGATGCTATTTGTTGAAGCTCAGGGTGCCTTCCTGCGTTTGCCGGGACTCCGTTCGTGGCTCTCGCCTCTTTGCTTTCGGTTTGGCAAATGGAAAGGCACGGCATCTTTGGAAAGCTGAGAGTTCGGAGGTTCCGGCGGAAAGCCAAGTCCTTCAAAGCATGGTTCTTGTCATGCACCAGTTCCAGTGACTCCTGGGCTGAAGGAACGAACCAGAATGCGACTCTTGCCAAGCAGTTGGAAGCAGTTGGAAGCAGTTGCTATAGCTTCCTCAAAAATATGCGTTGCAGAACAAAGGTCAAGCATTATGTTCCTCCAGAACTTTTACTGCATCATGGTGAAATGCCGTGTAAGGAATCCATGGCCACCCACTTCTGGGTTCCCCTGTAAAAAAAAAAGAGCTACAAACAAAAAAAAGGAGCAAAAGAAATGAGAATGCTTGAATCCATAGCTACCAACGCTAGGGCGGGGTGTTTTGTGCCAGGCGGCGTCGTACTCTGTCTGGGCAGTCTTCACAGCATTCACAGCCGCGACCTCTTCTGGCCTCGCAAAGGGCATCCACCATCAGTCTGGCAGCCTAATCCAGATTCTCTTGCTTACAATGATATACAGAAAAATGTGCTCCTTCACAGTGTATTCATGACAAAAACACGTGTCAAGAACACGTTAAGCATTTCCGCAGGATCCTGTGTAGCCAGTCCCAGCCCAGAAGAGTGACGTTGGACTGGCGAGTGCACTGCTTGTCTCCGGGTGCCGGACGTATCTGGACTTTGGCTTTCGCCGGAGACAATGCATTTCCCCAAGTGCCATTCGGTGCCCTTCTCCTGGTCACAGGCCTGGCCAAATCGCAAATCGCAACATCGTATTGACATCGCGAAGCGCGTTTTTTCTCAGTCCTGGAGGTGACATCGCGAGCATCCCATGTAAAAAAATAAATAAATAAAAATACCATCCAAATATCCCGCGCGGAGCGAGCGTCCGAGCGTCCGAGCGTCCGAGCGTCCGAGCGTCCGAGCGTCCGAGCTTTCCGAGCTTCCGCCTGCTTGGTGGTGATCTTCATGCCGAACTTGTTCTCCGCCTTTGTTCCCACGATGGTGTTCCGGCCCTTCACTCGACGCTGCGCCTCCGTCTCTGCCTCCTCCGAAATGCGAGACATGGCTGCTGCTCTCGTTGCAACGAACCCTTTTTCCGGTCGCTCCTTGATGGCGTCTTTGATCCGGACTTCGTTCTCTTGTGCCCTCAGCATCTTCATGCGACCGTACCCTGTTCAAGAATGTTGCCACTCCTCCTGCAATACTGCCAGCCCGTTCTCATTTGCTCGAATCTTGGCCCCTTCAACCCCCGCGCGAACTTGATTTCTCTTCAACCCCAACACAAAGTCAGCCTCCCAACAAAGACGACTCCGGCCACCCCACCAAAGGACCCCCAAAACCAAATTCCCCCCCTCCCCTGCCTTCCCCCCTGCCCCCCCCCCTCCGCCCAAACCCCCCGCGAACTTCGTCCACGGCGCTCCAGCTGCTCCTCCTCCGCGAAGTCGCGGCGCCCGTGGGCGCTGAGCCACTGCTCCGTGGCGCCCATCTGAGCGGCGGAGGGCGGACCCCCCGTCTCTGTCTCGGGTGTTCAAGCAAAGCCAAGAAAACAGCCCGAGCCATTTTTTATGTGCTATGTGTGTGTGTGTGTGTGTGTGTGTGTGTGTGTGTGTGTGTGTGTGTGTGTGTGTGTGTGTGTGTGTGTGTGTGTGTGTGTGTGTGTGTGTGTGTGTGTGTGGTGTGTGTGTGTGTGTGTGTGTGTGTGTGTGTGTGTGTGTGTGTGTGTGTGTGTGTGTGTGTGTGTGTGTGTGTGTGTGTGTGTGTGTGTGTGTGTGTGTGTGTGTGTGTGTGTGTGTGTGTGTGTGTGTGTGTGTGTGTGTGTGTGTGTGTGTGTGTGTGTGTGTGTGTGTGTGTGTGTGTGTGTGTGTGTGTGTGTGTGTGTGTGTGTGTGTGTGTGTGTGTGCGCGGGCGTGCGTGCGTGCGTGCGTGCGTGCGTGCGTGCGTGCGTGCGTGCGTGCGTGCGTGCGTGCGTGCGTGCGTGCGTGCGTGCGTGCGTGCGTGCGTGCGTGCGTGCGTGCGTGCGTGCGTGCGTGCGTGCGTGCGTGCGTGCGTGCGTGCGTGCGTGCGTGCGTGCGTGCGTGCGTGCGTGCGTGCGTGCGTGCGTGCGTGCGTGCGTGCGTGCGTGCGTGCGTGCGTGCGTGCGTGCGTGCGTGCGTGCGTGCGTGCGTGCGTGCGTGCGTGCGTGCGTGCGTGCGTGCGTGCGTGCGTGCGTGCGTGCGTGCGTGCGTGCGTGCGTGCGTGCGTGCGTGCGTGCGTGCGTGCGTGCGTGCGTGCGTGCGTGCGTGCGTGCGTGCGTGCGTGCGTGCGTGCGTGCGTGCGTGCGTGCGTGCGTGCGTGCGTGCGTGCGTGCGTGCGTGCGTGCGTGCGTGCGTGCGTGCGTGCGTGCGTGCGTGCGTGCGTGTGCGTGCGTGCGTGCGTGCGTGCGTGCGTGCGTGCGTGCGTGCGTGCGTGCGTGCGTGCGTGCGTGCGTGCGTGCGTGCGTGCGTGCGTGCGTGCGTGCGTGCGTGCGTGCGTGCGTGCGTGCGTGCGTGCGTGGGTGGGTGTGTGTGTGTGTGTGTGTGTGTGTGTGTGTGTGTGTGTGTGTGTGTGTGTGTGTGTGTGTGTGTGTGTGTGTGTGTTTCGTTTGGGTGGGGGAAATGGGTATGTGCTTTTTTTGGGAGTGGGGGGGGGGGGGGGGAAAAATGGAGAAAGTAGGGGGCCTGGGGGGTGGTCTGTTGATGGTCCCCTGTTATGTTTTTTATATTCATCTCAAACCTATTAACCACCTTATTCGTTTTTAAAAGAGGGTTTTTGGGGAGCTTATTTATCGTTTTCGTTAAGGTAATCATTTGGGTAAAAGGCCGCCTTGTTCATTGTTGGGCTGGGGGCCGACATTTTTTTCATTTGAAAGAGTTAACCCTTTTAGTACTTATAATGTTCTGGGGTGTTGGTGGTGTATTTGTTTTGTTAGTGTTTTTCTCACTAATTTTCATTTATAGGTTAAAAGTTCAGTATAATTATAACATATAAGATTTTACATGTTATTATTATATTATGATTATAATTTCAGTTCAGGATAATAATCTAATTGGTTTGTCTTACTTCTTTCATACATCATTTTAAAAATAATATTAACATCTCTCAATGTATGTTGAACATTAAACTTTTTACTTTCAATAAATAATTTGATATTTTGTTTAACATCTTCTCCTTTCTCTTGACTATAACCCAACATCCATAATATATCATAAATCATGTCATATTTTTTCTTACTGATTTTAAGAAACTGTTTAACATAATCGTAAGGTGGTATTTTATTTACAGTTAGAAATATTAAAATATCATCTTCTACATTTCTATTATGTCTTCCTTTTATTCTCAACAGACATTTGATTAAAAATTGATTATCTCTCCATTCCTGACAATTTTCACATTCGTCTTTTTCATCCATTGAATAATTAATAATATTATTCACTATTTCATTAGGCAAATTCAATTTATACAATTCCATATTTTCTTTTTTGAAGTGACAACAATCATAGCATTTTTTATCGATATAATTATTGATTCCATCACCGTTCATTTTTCTCTTAATATATAAGGTAATATTTCTTTAAGTAGTTTTGGCTAGGGGGTTGCTGGTCGGCTGGTCTGGGTTTCAGGTTTAATTTAAATGTCTTAACCTTCTTGATAGATTATAAAACAATGTTTAATCATATTATAATTAAATATTATGAATAAACAAACATCATATTTCATAATTATTAATTGTATGGATTTCAAATTTGATAAAGTCTATCATCACAAGTGGTCTATTGACTAATCTTATTGTACCCTTTATTTCTTTCACCATCTTTTCTATTGTGATTAGGAGTTCTTCTTTACTTTTCAAGGTATATTGATTGGATGGCATATTACATTTTCCAATAACTGAATCATAATTAAGTTTTACTCTAACATGCATTTTAATCTTTATTTCATCGCTATATCTTATTAGGCTCATAAACTTTTCTGATGGGTTAAACGCGTAAGAAAACGCCTTATCGCCTTTTAACTTTTTGTTGTGTATCTCGTGGTTATACGTTGTAATTGACTTTTCTGGAGTTTTACGTCGGCTGACTACATCATTACTAATAGAAGGTTTCCATGTCCTTTGTAATTCTCTTAAAGCATCACATTGTTTCAGTCTTCGCCACCCTTCACTACCATTAATGTAAGTAGTGATGATTTAAACTAAACCGTCAGGTAAGCTAGCATAATTCTCAACCATAAAATTATTCTCTGACATTTTACCCTCACTCATTTTTCTCTTTATATATAAGGTTTTTTCTCTTTAAGTAGTTTTGGCTAGGGGTTGCTGGTCGGCTGCTCTGGGTTTCAGGTTTAATTTAAATGTCTTAACCTTGTTGTTAGATTATAAAAACTAGGTTTAATCATATTAGAATTGAATAATATCATTAAACTAAATCACTCACGCTTTCCATCCACCTATTCCATCCCACCAGAATTCAATAATTCGCATCTGTCCATCTACTAGACTGTCTTCTTTGTTTAGTTTCCGTATCGCTCCTGATAAGATATAGTGGTTAATAATCATTGCATTAAACTTTCCATCACGGTTTAACTTTTTACCACAGTCTTTTATGATGTCTTCATCTGTTAGGTTTTCATACATTTCTTTCATGATGTCAAACCTAACAAATGAGTATATCGCCATCAAGTTTAATCCGCTATTATCCCTAAACCTGCTAATGACATCTTTCCAGAATTCTTCGTTTTCATCAACTGGTGGCAAAGGGTGTCTTTTGATGAAATCCTTTATTTTGTTTAACTCTTCATCTAATTCCTTTTTATAACTGTCATTATCATCATCTTCTTCGTCTGATAGCACCAAGTTTGATAAGTCAGCAATCACTCCGACATTTTCTACATTCAAGTCATCTAATCTTATTTCAGCCATAATTTTCACTTAATATAATAAGTTAATATTTCTTTAAGTAGTTTTTTTATTTTATGTTAAGGGGTGGGGCTTTATATTGAAAAAATATTTTCTAACAATTTAATATAATGGCGAGATTAACAAAAGACCAAATAATCAGCAACATCTATTACGACTTAGACGAGGGTTTCGGAAGCACACAAGCGACACACAAGAAGGCAAAGGAAGAAGACCCAACAATAACAATAGACGATGTAAAGTCTTTCTTGAAGAAACAACCAAATAAACAAATCAAAAATTATAGAGGTACTAATTCCTATACCGCTCCATTCGCGCGATATGAATATCAAATAGACATAATGCATATGTCACCTTTAGCAAAAGACAAGATCGTTCCACAGTATGCTTTAGTCGTGATTGACATCTTCAGTAAATTAGCTGATGTAATACCGATGGAGGAAAGAGACGGAGAGCACGTTTTGAAGGCGTTGAGAACAAGCTTTAAAAAGATGGGTTATCCGATGTCCGTGTATTCTGATGACGACGGAGCGTTTGCAACTAAAAATCAAGTTCAGGATTTCTTCAACAGTGAAGGAATAAACCACATCGTCACGAAGACCCACGCAAATGTGGCCGAGCGTTTTATTAGAACGATGAAAAACAAAATTCACGATAGAGTTAGGTTTAACAACATGAAATGGACCGATGCCCTAACGCAAGCATTGAAACAGTATAACAGCACATCTCACTCATCAACAAGGATGGCACCGTCTGAAGCACACAAGGACGACAATGAAATAAATGTAAAGGTCAATCTTAAACTACGAGAAAAAAACAAAAGAAAGTATCCCAAAATAGAGGAGAACGACAAGGTAAAAGTGTTCCAAAAGAAAAGGGGTAATTACACCGACAGAAAGGAGTATAACTCTAAATGGTCTAATAAAATATTCAATATTGATAAAATTGAATATGATATTATGGGTAATAAAACTTACAAAGTAGCAGGAATAAACAAACCGCTTTTGAGACACGAAATTTTGTTAGTTAATGATTAAACGTATTTCTTGGTATCTTCTTTATACTTGACTTGATAGTAATCCAGACTTGATTGTTTAGGTTCTTTTATGATTTTTTATTCAGTTTTTTAACATAAATGTTGCGTTTATTTTTGTATTCGCTACTGTCTCTATCTACTTCTTTTGCTTGGTAACTGTTATTGTTATTATATGTAGGTTTAATATTCATGCTCTTTAAGATGTTCAGTATGTTTTCATTTTGCTCCAACACTTTTTCTAATTTTGGAAACAACAACTCTAAAGTACTGTCAATGTTCGCTAAATGTTCCTCCATATATACTAAATTATAAAACTAAACTTTTAAAACTAAATGTTGCAATTATGTTAAATCTACTCTTTAAATACTAATTTTTCATTATTTGTTTAACAGTTTCCTGAGAAACTTATCACCATTATCTGATGGAGTAACTCCCCTCCCAAATCGTATAGCAATATTATGAACATCTGTTTCTAAGTTTATACTGTCTTTAGTTTTATCAATATTCATTTTCTTAT